TTTTTTTTTTTTTTTGCGGAACCAGGGATTGAACTCGGAACCTTGTGCTTGCCAGGGAAGCACTTAACCTACTGAGCCATCTCCCTGGCCCCTATCAACTTTTGATAGAGTCTGATCCTGTATATCTTTTTGTTTTCTGAGCTATAAGAAAATATTTCAGAAAGGTCTTCTAAGACTTAGTTTATATGCTCCTGTTGGAGAACAGTAATACTGAACATACATTTTTGTCAATGTGAAGTTCTATAAGGAGAAATTGATATAATATGAGAATAAGAAAAAGTGTTCTGTTATTTTTTAAAGAAAGTAGATGATTGAGTTCATTGCACTGCTAGTGAATAAATGGGAAAGAACTTCAAAATTGCTTTGCCTTAAATTTTTTATGTGAAGATAAAAGGCTAAGCGGTGTAGTATGAATCTTTTATGAACCTGGATATTTATAAAAATAGGTACAACCTATATACTTCCCCAAAAGTTCATGAAGGAGCTTTCTTTATGGTTTGTTCTGGTTTAGCTTTGAGGATTGCTTCACTTAAACTGACTTAACCTTGGATCCCCTGAGCTTGTCAAGGGCTGTCAGCAGTCACAATCCAGCCCTGCATTTGCTCCTTGCTTTCTAGCACATGGAACACCTCTGGATAATCCAGGCTCAGAGACAGTATGCACAGGAGGGAAAATTGGACCCTCAGCCCAGAATCCTGGCTACAATCCTACCTCTGCTTTTTACATCTGTCCCCAGGTGACTATGTGCCTGTCCGCTCAGGGACTGAGTTTGTTCTTCCGTGTACTAAGTCTGGTGGACCAGTATAGTACCTACCTGCATGATCATAGGTTAAAGGAGAGGTAGCCCTGGGAGCAGAGTCTGGCACCTAATCAGTGCTCAATAAATATCAGTTCTCACAGCCATCATCCTTATTGTCCTGCTCTTCCCCAAGTGGATGCCCACAAAAATAACATTTGGATTCACCTTTTAAATTTTCATTTACAGGTGACAGGGCAGGTTGCTGCTATAGGGTATTAACAGTGGGGAAGAAAGAATGATTAGGACCCCT